AATTTGAGTGCATAATTCATCCGAGACATGTGAGCTAAATGCATCCATGAGATGACATGAAATAATCACTTACTGGATGTTGTAGTGAACCTTTCGAAGGTTGTGGCTTTTGCTAAACCAAAGTGTGTGAACACAGAAAAGCTTTATTCTTTGAACAAAACAGTTTTCAAGCCTATAGAGAGTAGTGTAATAAAAACCAGCTAACATCCAGCCTGAAACTGGTATAAAAAAGCAATACTTATGGTATAAAAAATAAATACAAACTGCAATAAAATATAACATTCTCAGTACTGATGCATAAACACTTCTGTTATATAGTGTTCCTGAGCAACTTATAAAAAAGGTGAAAAGGAAAAAAGGTGAGGTCAGCAGGTACAAACAGGATGTTTTAGGATCGTAGTCTAAGGTCTGAGGGATCGTCCGGGAGTGACGGTGCAGTTTTCAGGACACTTGATTGGTCAGTAGGCGGTGCTGTCTCACCTGTTGATCGGTTACCAAGGAGGAAACCCCCGGTAAGAAGAGAATCCCGTCGCCTCCCCTCAGCCCGGGAACGATAAACCTAACTGAAGGTAAATCTTAGTAAGACTTTAAAAAGCGTCAGACACGAAGGCTGCTGCGCTGTTACAGCTAAGGTGCTTTCACCACCACCTACACCTTTACCTTGAACTATGATCAGGTGGTGTTTGTTTAACCCGGACAAAGGTGCGCTGACTGTGGTCACATGTGCGCATGTCTACGAATCTGTGTGAAAAACAGGAACGGGCATCACAAACTTTAGGAAACTGCAGTTTAGCAACTTTATTCTCGAAGGATAGAATAGAAGGAACAAATCTAACAGTTTGTGAGTGTTTGTGGAACTTGTTGATCTTCACTATCGTAACTTTCTATTCCCTGACCGGCGGATTGATCAAAAGTATTAATACAATCGTTACCTGCGCTGATATTGATATCGATACTGTCGAGATGGGATCAGTGCCGTTTTTCTATCATCCATTGTGTTAAATAATAATTATTTTTTTAATTAAAGATGATACCTCACACTCACACTGGGAACAATATCTTGAACCTGTCATGTTTATTTTATTTGCAGCACAATAAGCACATTTAAACACAAGCTGACCCAAACTGCTTTAGGACTGGCACGTTTACATTCAGCACAGAGATTTAATGCTCATTAAAATGGGTTCAGAACTCACTGATGTGCATCTCATAAGTTTATAGGTCAGAAGTATCAGTATCAGCTATACCGGCCCTGTATTTACTGGGTACATGGTATTGGATCGATACCAACATTTGCAGTACCTGCAGCATTATTCTGGACACTGGGTGGCAGCGTCTGCTTGTGGCGCTGCTGAAACCTGATCCTATCAGCATTTGCTTTTTCCTCTTGCTTATCTGCAGAAAAGTGAAAGAGGAAGAGGGTGAGTAAGCAAAAGGCTGCACCTCTGTTTTATCCAGAACAGTTTTCAATGTAATAGTGTTGGAGCAGGGTGAGTGGCCTCATCAGTGTGTCTATAAGGACAGTAGATAGGTCAGTTGTTGCTTACTGATAGCAGAACTTGTACGTTTCAGTGCATATTCAAACATAGTGCATGTGGGAGAATGCAATCCAACCCCTCTGTTCCTGGTTTGCATTGTGGACTCCACCCTGCACCTCCTCCTTCTTTCAGTGTTAAAGAGGTGGAGGTGGGTGTGTATCTGTTTGCATGTGAGTGCTGAAGGGGCGGGTTGAGTTCTGACTGAAACTATGAGTCCTGACCGTCTCTCACATCATCTAGGTGTGGCTTTCTCTACTGCGATCAGATACTGACAGAAGTGGCTGAGCCAGTTATTTCCACACGGCTTTAAAGAGTGGAAGTGACGCCAGGCGGTCAAAGAAGAGCTGAAGACATGGCAGATACAGCAGCTGTAGAAGTAGCTCCTCTCCCCAAACAGCCACAGCAGCAGCAGCAGAACCTGTGTCGTGTCTGCTCAGGTAAACTGAGCGAGGGGGAGCCGGCAGCTTGTGGTCACTCCGTATGCGGTTCCTGTCTCGGAGACAAAAGCAAAGGATGTCCACAGTGTCCCGTCAAGCCTGGCAGTCCCAAACAGAATGGAACAGCTGACGCTCACGTAAATAAAAACAGCGAGAAGCAGAGTGAAGAGTCAACGACAGCGGAGGAGACCGAGATCCAAAAAGACCCGAATCAGTCCGAGGACCCCAAGAAGCCTGAAGAGGACAAAAAGGAAGCAGAACCACAGACAGAGGAAGGACCAAAAGAGGACCAGGATAAGGAGGAACCTTTGGGCCCCGACGATGTGGTGTGTGACTCTTGCATTGAAAGCCCCCGCAGGGCCCTCAAGTCCTGCCTCACCTGCTTGGTGTCGTACTGCGAGGCCCATCTCAGGCCTCACCTGGAAAATCCAAAATTTCAAAACCACCGGCTGGTGGACCCGCTCAGGGACATCGAGAGGCGGACCTGCGAGAGCCACAAGTGGCCCCTGGAACTGTTCTGCTCCACCGACTCCTGCTGCATCTGCCAGGACTGCGTGAACGAGGACCACAAGGGCCACAACACCGTGTCTGTGGTGGACGCTCGTAATCAGATCGAGGCAAGTGTTTCCCTGTACTGTGTGCACATTCCTTCGAATGACCTCAACACATCTGATATGAATTTTCAGGCTGAATTCCCAACTGAAAACACACATTTATATTCTTCAGTTTTATTTTGGGCCTTCCTAAGAGTTCCTGCTGCCTTAAATCTTTTAATGCCAGCATGTGAGAATCAGCTGCTCTCATTGCTTTAGGGAACTCTGAACTGAGACACTTTCTTTTTGGAGATAGAATGAGGCAATTAAACACTCATATCTTCAGCATTTATTTTTATTTTTAATAAATACCTGAGTTTTGTTTAAACTAAACTGTCAAAGAGAGACGCTATTAATTAAAATAAGTCCATTCTAGGAATTTACTGTCAGGATTTCTTATCTCATATTTAGCGTTGCTGAATGTGTGGCAAAGGTCCCGTAGATGGCGAGTAAAGTGTTGAGTAAATAAAAGATTACTGCGACAGCAGTTGTGTCATTAATTAGGAATGTGAGCTCATAAATAGTCAGTCAGCAGGTCGGAGCAGCACAGTTGATCTCAAATGTTCCTCTAAATGCTTCCTCCAGTCAACAGTGCTTCAGGTTCAGCGTCCACTCTGGAGGTCATCTGCTCACGTTTGGCTTTGCAGTTAAATCTGAAGCCCATCTCTCTTTGTGCCATCAAACATTCCAGCTTAGATTCCTGCACAGACCTGAAGTCAAAACCAGGTGTTTGAAGAGCTCTCGTTACAAAACCTTCTTTGTTAGAACTGCAGCGAAAACACTGGTGGGAGGAGCTTAGGCGGAAATCCCACCACCGCTCATCAAATATTCTTTATTTGCTCACCTGCAAAACGTGATTTTAAGTACAGTGGAACCCCGACTTACGCATTTAATTCGTTCCAGAGAGTCTTTCGTAAGTCAAAAAGTTCGTAAGTCGAAGCACCTTTGAGTGAGGCGATGCTGGCTAAAGATGAAGTTCTTGGTGGAGGAGGTTGAAGCATGCATGCATACATACGTACGTGTACATGTACATAACATTATGAAATTTAATTAAATTTTTTTTAATTTTCTATTTTATCTATTTTGTTACTCTGGCATTTTGCCAAAATATTGCCGTTAAGTGCCTTTGTAACTTGAATTTTTCGTTAAATGGGGTCTTTGTAAGCCGGGGTTCCACTGTATTTAGTTTTGAACGGAAAAACATGGAGATCATCACACACATACACACACACACACACACACATGCATACACACACACACTGGACAGAAGAAAAACAGAAAGCACAGTATGATGAATGCTTCCTCTTCCTTTTCAGAGCTTTCGTTCCACATTGAACAATAGAGAATTATTATATAAGTCACTTCTGTTTGGTTGATCCTGCTGTCCACCCTCCTGGAGTGGGACAGCAGGACAAGAAAAGCATTAAAACATTATTTTGTTTAAATGATTCAATGAAACCATTTTTAACATTTTCTTGTCTTGCAGAACTCAGTAGGAGTTGTGGGTTTAATGATTATGGAAAAGACTCTTCAGATGTTTAACTACCTTTTCAGCAAATATTGTGTGGATCAAAGTGGAACTGACATAAACCACTGGAAGTATTTCCAAAGATTGTTTTTCATGGTGCCAAACAAAAGGTCACCTTTGCTTAACTTCTTCATCAGAATAATGTTTCACCATGTTTGACATGATGTAGTCGGGGAGAAATTAAAACAATCAAAAGCATTGAATTGGTCACAAATAACACATCAAAGTCTTATTAATGATCTCTTGAGGCAGTCACGGATCTGATTTTTGCTCAGTAGTCATGTTAATAGTTAGTATAAATGATCTAGACAACAAATATATAAAATATTGTAGAAGTAACACAGCAGAGGAAAACGTGTAAAACAATACAAGCTTGAAGTGGGGATTTTAAAATGAACAGTTAGCAGAGACAGTTTCAGCTGAGGACTCTGAACCTTGATGTGAATCAATTTTAATTAATTTTAATATAAAACAGCCACTATGATACGGAGACAAATATTTCCAAGTTGATTATATAGGACAAAAATGTAATGCAGCATGGACTAGGAGTTGGGAATGAAATGATCCTCCACCTGTAATGTAACATCACAATTTGGGCACACGTGTTATCATGTGAGCGTGTAAGCTGGTGCACAGGCACAAAAGCTCCCAAATATTATTTTCAATAATGCTATTGGTTGGATAAACCAATAGCATTAATAACACTAAGTATCATCTGCCTGACACAATAATTGGAAACTTAACTAACACTTGTAATTTGGTGTCGTGTTTCAGGAAGTGATATAAAAATGAGAAGTAGGACATCCCTGTCCTGGCAGTAAATTAAATATATATATATTTTTTAATTAATTTCAAACCTGCACTTGCATGCTGACTCAGAGAGACGCTTGTAGCGCTCCCCGCTGGGTCTACAATTGTAGGAGTTAATATCAGAATAGCTGCTCTGCTTCAGAGTTGCCTGGATCTGCCTGAGGAATTTAGATTTGACTTGACAGAAAACCACAGATGTGCAAGCCTAGGGTCAGATATCGGACCCCTTCAGAATAAAAGGAACCAGAGAGCAAAAGTTTTCCCTGAAACAATCTAGATATTAACATCTACACATGTTTTCTATGAGGAAGCTGACGGACTCTTGCTCTGTTAACAGAACGAACTGAGGGAGAAACAGAATGAGATGATGAAGACGATGACGGCGGCAGAAAATGCCATCAACAAACTTCAGCTCAATACAGTCTCCATTGAGGTAAACACAACATTAGAAATGATTCATTGTGAGTCACACAGTGTCACAGCAATTAAGTAAAATGAGTC